TATATTTCATGACTTTGGAGTGCTGAGATAAGATAAAACAGAGTGGGAGCAGCAAAACCCAGAAGAAAGGACTCAATCTGTTTTACAGAGTTTGTTATTAATGTGTGGGAGAAAATCCAGTCATCCAGCTTCTCCTCTAGCCCCTTTTCCATTTCAGGATAAGGGCATTGGTTAGCATAAATGAGGCTAAAGCTGTGGGCAAAATAGTAACTTTGAACGAAAACTTAAAGATGTTAGACCAAGGGTCTCTAACCTTTGGTCCACGGTCCACTAGTGAGCCATGAGGTACTTGGCTGCAGAAACTGTGGTGAGTACAAGTGAACACACATCCCTACTTGCACCAGCAGCGGGTGAGCACTTCCATGTGCACTCCATTTGTTACATCAAGTGCATGTATGCAAGTGCATGTATGTGTGCATGATCACACAAATGGAGCTGTGAGTGTGTGCTTGGTGGCCACTCATGCCAAAACATAGTCTCTCCCCCTCCTCCTTTGCTGGTCTGCAAAGCCGGAGAGGTTGGGCAACTCTGTGTTAGACCACCTGCAGGATGCAATTTAAGGGAGCCTATTTCCATAAAAAAGAACACTAGTAGGAACCCCTTGAGGTAATTGAAGAACAGTACAGTTCAGGTTATGATGGCTAACCTTATTTGTTCCCGCGTGTGAAAAGCGTGTGTGCGTGTGTAACAGCCTGCACTGCATGCCAACACCCATAATCCCTGCCCTCTGTGCATGCGTACATGACACACACACCCCCGTGCTCTCCCTCCGTGCCCTGTTTTGGACCTAGCAGGCATCCCTAGCAAGCCTCCTGGGACCAAAAACGGGCCGTGGGGGGATTTCCTCCTCCCCGAATTCCCCCCACCACTGCATTATGCATGCACACGTGAACCCATCCCTGTGCTCCCCCGCCCCCTGCACTTATGTGCATACCCCCTGGGTATGCAAGTGCGTCTCCCACATGCGTGGCGGAGACCCAAAAATCAGCTGGTCAGGGGGAGGCGCACACGTATGTATGGTGGACCTGAGCTGGGCGATGGCTCGTGTGTCCACAGAGAGGGCTTCATGTGCCATCTGTGGCACCCGTGCCATAGGTTTGCCATCATGGGTATAGGTAATTCTCAATTTACGACCACAATTTAGCCCAGAATTTCTCTTGCTTAGACATTTATTAAGTGAGTTTTGTCCCATTGTACGACCTTTATTGCCATTGTTGTTAAGTAAATCATTGCAGTTAAGTTAGTAACATGATTGTTAAGTGAATCTGGCTTCCCCATTGACTCACAAAAGATGATCACATGATCCTGGGACACCGAAACTGTCATAAATGTGAGCCAGTTGCCAAGCATCCAAATTCTGGTCATGTGACCATGGATTGTAAGTGTGACAGTCACTTTTTTCAGTCCTGCTGTAACTTCAAAAGGTCACTATATGAATGGTTGTAAGTTGAGGACTACCATATTTTTCGGATTATAATTTGCACCTTTTCCCCTCAAAAAAGAGGGTGAAAATCTGGGTTCGACTTATACACTGAATACAGCATTTTTGGCCTCCCAACCCCCCCCCCCTTTGCAAAAAAGACTGTGTAGCCTTTAGGAGGCTTCCAGAGTGCTCCTGGGGGCTAGCGAGGGCCTTTGTTTGTCTGTTTTTGCCACCCCTGCCTCCAGGAGCACTCCACAAGCTTCTTAAAGGCTATGCATGCCCTTTTTTGACAAAAAAGGGGCCCGTTTTGTGAAAAATGGGCTCTTTTTGGGAGGTCTGCAGAGTACAAAAACTTTTTTTTTCATTTGCCTCTTCAAAATCTTGGTGTGTCTTATACTCCAGTGCATCTTATACTCTGAAAAATACGGTATCTGTACTCAACAGGTGCTAAACAGATTCAACCCTTGAAAACTTTGTGTAACTTTCAAGCTGTGCTCCATAAAGGAGCTCTCCCTTTGCTGAAAAGTTTTATTTCAGCACATTCAGGAACATTCTGGATATGCCCCCTGGACTGGTCTGGATAGCTAATCCAGTTTTAGACGTATTTTGTGGTACATACTTTTTTGGAGTCGTAGAGGATTACTCCAAGTTAGCCTAAATTACTTGTTTTATACTATGCTCATTACATTATCGATTTTATGCTCGTGCCTATATTGTGTTTTTTGGATTTTGTTTTATCTCTGTGTATGTAAAATATGCCCTGGGTCATGTAAATCAGAGATGTTTCTATGAAGCTTTTTAATGATAGTGGAACTTCTTGTAGCATTTTTTCCAACTTTCCAGTCTGGCCTATAATTCTGTGGTTTTTTGGTGACTTCCATTCAAATATTAACTGGATGACGTTTTAGTTAGCTTTTTATGGAAGCTAGGTGCTGCAATATAATTAGGTAGGAGAGGAAAGAGCCAAATTAAAAACCCAACTTAGTCAGAAAGTTATTCCTAAATAATGCTACTCTGAACCTAACCCACCTGTGTCGTTTAGGAACATAACAATAATAGGGTAAATTGTGTATGCCTTGTAGGAAGGAAATGATGAAAATATTACATTGATGGGATGAAGGAGTTTCTTGTGAAAGAAACATTATTTTACAACAATATTTTTATGCTCCATAAAAGCATTCTACCCTAAAAATATTACATCTAAAGTATGTTCCCTAAGGATAAAATGTTTCAATTTTATTAAAGAAAGTTTTAACAAGAGAAAAGCACTACAAATTTTAGACCAGAAATAAAAATAAATAAAACATAGTGAATAAATAAGAAAGAACAAACGAAATAAAATTTGGGGGGGGGGGGCAAAAGAGAAGAAAAGGTAACGGCTTCCAATCTTCTTAGCAGCTTTACCATCTCTCTCCAAGATTACATCAACATTTATTTCCATTCTAACCATCAAATCCATAAATCATGAGTTCAGTTTTATTACCCTATCTTCAGCAAGAAATCCAAAATGGGTTTCCAGTTATTAGTAAATGAGATTATTACCCTTTGCCTAATCAGACTATTAGACTTCTGTGTTTGGATGGAACACTATAGAATCTTTCACTCCCAGATAATTACAACTCCCAGATTAAGGCTATTTATTCCTTTATTCATTTTTGTCATGTGTATATGTATCACAAGCTCTACAAGGATCCTGATGTTTGATAACAGCCCACTTAAAATCAGTATAAATAATATATAAATCCAGTACAACATGAAATCAGCCATCCTCCCTGATGTCCTTAATCCAGTAACAATCTCAGGTATTAGAAACTACAGAAAAACTGCTAGAATACCATAATGAGTTGATTTGTTCCTGTAATAAATTGCAGGGAGCTCAACTTGCTCAACCTAATGTTAAAAGAAGACATAACTTTGCAAGATATTGCATTCTGTAGTTCCTCTGCCAAAAATCTCTGTTGTGACACTTCCTGTAAAACTATTTAAAACCACCCTTGTTCTTCATTACTTTATAAAGGAAAAAAGGAAGGAGTTTTTACAATATAAGTCCCAATTCGATCCATTTGCTGCTGTTACTAAATACTATAATTATTTTGCTTTAAGAAAATGAATTCATTCACTAGACACTGTGCCTCACCTTATGCTATAGTTTGCTTTGGTTCACACATTGTAGTAAGTCTCTCACACACACGTACACACATATATTTTACCAACATGATTAATGCATTATTCTAAAATGATACCAATTTTAAATTTCTCTTAACCCTTCAAAAGAGAAAGATTAAAGAGATAAAATAGCTATATACATATTAAAAATCCTATACACAGCTCAGCAGTCCTGCTTTATTCACTAGATTTTCTAATTCCCTCATAATACAATCTTGAAAGAGGCTGTAAATAGAAAAAAATGTACTTTGGCTAATTCTGCAATGAAATAAAATTACCATTATTACTGCTACTGATACCTAAACACATATGCTTAGAACTTCAGAAAGTAGAAAGAACTTCATAACTAGAAAGAGTGCAGAGAACAGCAACAAAGANATATAATTCTGTGAGGTAGGCTGAGTTGAGAGAGTCAGTACAATGTACAGAATTTATCCAATGGCAAATTTCACTTGAAAAGAAGCAGACAAATAGATTTCTCCCCTTTCCTTTTTTTAAAAAAAAAGTGGGACCCCCACGAAAGGATGGGAATTCAAGGCAGCCATCAGCCTTCCCATCTATTCATTTTAATGGTAGAATTCACAGTCTCCTGGTTTCTGGCCGGAAGCCTGGTTTTGAAATTTTTTGAGGTCTCCATTTTGGTTCCTTCTTTGGCATAGGGACTGGGATGCTTGTCTAATAATACAAAATTATATGACAAAGATGATAGCGGATATCATATTGAAGACAAACAAGTGTGAAAATCTGCAAATGTCTGACTAATGCTATTAGTTCTTGTATTTCAGAGGAGATGCAGGAGAGCATTTTTCCACTTCTGTTTCTTTTTAGGAACTCTTCTAATTCCTTTTAAGACAGAGCTGAGTAGTCTTTTGGCGGCCAGAGGTTAAATGTTGTAACTTTGGAGAAGGCAGAAAGCTGTAGTACTGGTTATTTAGAGTCATTGTAGTAACAACTTATATTCTCTAAAACATTTCTCCGTTGTATTATGTAATATTATGAATGTTTAAAGTTCAACTCCTATTTTGCCTAAACTTGTTGGCAAGAGAAGGAATTTAAATTACACCACATCTTCTTGTCTATGCATTTTAAAACTTCCTGCCCAAAGAAGACTTCAAAATTTTTTGAAGACTTCAAAATGTGCACACTTGAGCCATATTCCTTGTTTCTAATAAAGATGACAGCCAAGAATATATTTAAAAAATAATATTTTTTCTATTTATTTATGGCTTTAGCAGAATGAATAACACCAATTTATTTAAATAAGGCAAATGGAAAAAAATCTTTTCTGCATTTGGCATTTGAAAAACATTAGATTCTATTTGGAATTTCAGATAATCTTAGGTGATTGGTCTTAGACTGGTTATACTTTACTGTTCTTAACTGGTGTCTGTTATCACTTTTTTGCAATTAGTATTCGACCATCAAAAGAGCTGTTGTTCAAAGAACCATGAAATCAGATCATGAGGACAGAGAGGGTCTTCTTGTACCTGGAATATCAAACATGTCACCAGAGGAAAAAATGGCAGACACCAGGAATAGCAGTTGTGATATCATCAGAGATGTATCTCCATGTCCTGAGGTTTGGAGAAATGCTGATATAAAACCTAGCCAAGAAGCCTCCAGGAAAAAACTATGTGGTTATTTATATAAATGTTCTTCTAAAGCACCAATCAAGACCTGGAAGTCACGCTGGTTTTGCTATGATGAAAATAAATGCTACTTGCTATACTACAGGACAGCACAGGATATTAATCCTTTAGGAAGCATAGAGATTTCCATTGCGAGTTTTGATCCGAAAGTGGGAGCAGATGAAGGTATTTTTGAAATCAGGACTCCCATCAAAGACTTTATTCTTAAGGTATGTAATTGCAGGAAGATATGGTGGGTGGGTGGATGTGGCCTGAATTGGGACCGAAGCCCCAATTATATTAATAATGTCAGCATCTTGAGAGATATTTTCAATAAAATTGCTAAACAAAGGATTCAGTAATTGTCCAAGTTTAAATTTGTTAGACAAAACATTATAAAGTAAGAAACTGATTGTGTTCTTGCCTGTGATAGGTAAACAAATACTCAGTGCTAGAAATATTTAAAGAAACTTTGTATTGAAATATGGCTTGAAAAGTTCTGGCTAGCTGCTATGCTTGCAATTTTTTTCTTTAAAAAAATGATATGATATCTTTTTAATGACAACATGACATTGTTGGGCAAGCTATTGGCTTATCTCTAAACATTCTCAATAGATAGCATTGTTATGAAACATGACATTGTATGCAAATAAATGTAACCTTTTGCTGGGTGGATAAATATATTCTGTCCAGGACAATCATATTTTAAAATATCACAGTAGCATAGTCCACGACTTATGACCACAACTGAGTACAATATTTCTGTTGTTAAGTGAGACATTTGTTAAGTGAGTTTTGCCTCATTTTACCACGTTTCTTGCCACAGTTGTTAAGTGAATCACTGCAGTTGATAATTTAGTAACTCAGTTGTTAAATGAACTTGGCTTCCCCATTGACTTTGCTTGTCAGAAGGCCACAAAAGGTGATCACATGAACCTGGAACACAGTAACAGTCATAAATATGAACTAGTTGCCAAGCATCTGAATTTTGATCACATGAACATGGGGATACTACAAAGGTCATAATTATGAAAAATGGTCATAAATCACATTTTTCAGTGCCGTTGTAACTTTGAACAGTCACTAAATGAACTGTTGTAAGTCAAGGGGTATCTGTAATTGTTTAGCATGCTACAGATGAATAAAATTCGAATAAAAAATCACTAGCAAAATTAATCAACTGTTAGCTAAGAGTGTTTGCATTATGATAGATTAATAAGATTTTTTATTAATGTCTTTATTCCTTATAAGTTTTTTAGAATTACAGTATATGTTTGTTGGCATGTACTGTACGTACAGTATGTGTGTGTATGTATATATATACACTGTATATACACATAGGTAGATATATACACTAAAGGTTTTTTTTAATTTAACCTTGTGTATTTTATATTTTTTTAGCTTTTATTATTAAGTGTTTGTATTTTTTTTTATGCTGGTCTATGAGTGTAATAAAATTTTTGATTAATGATAAACAAGAATATTAGGAGTGGCATGCCCAACCCATCTGAACAGCAACAATTTTAGAAAAAACGATTTTAGTTATAAAAAATATATCTTTTCTCTTTTGTTTTGATTTTAAATTGAATGACTGTACAGGCTGTCAACAAACAAGCCATGATGTATTGGCTACAACAACTGCAGCTGAAACGCTGGGAATTTTGTAATAAACAGGCAAAGGGTTTTGTTGAAACCATGCCATCTTTTCCTTCCATAAATGAGGCCCAGCAGAGCAACAGTAAGTAATAAAAGTACAATAGCTTGAACTTGAATTGCAACAGGAGGAGTATTCTTGTTAGAGGTTATGTAGCTCAAGATAGGCAGCTCTTCATCCCTTGACTGTCTATGGTAGTACACTGTTTTTTATTCCCCATCAGGCCACCAGATTGTGCTGCTCAATATCAGTACGATTTTGGACTGTTTTAGAAGAGGGATAGAGTGAGAGTTTTGCCACCAAAGCATCCTGCTCCTAATTTCACTCTAAAAAGATGGCTCCATCCCTTTTGGTGACATCATATCTTCCTCCCTCCCATCTCTAATCCAATATCTTTCACACTGTAATCAGTTCAGCATAGCAACATTATTAAACAAATTAATATAACATTGCAGTCTTCTAAATGCATGGAAGGCCAAGGAGTAGCTTCTGAATCATTTGTATGCTTGTCCTGATAGAGATCAAGATGACCATTGGCTACAGTTTGATTCCACATACTACAGGTCTCCATCATACAAGAATTCTAAATGCATATATTTGCTGCAAAATTTTTTATTGTTGCCCTGCATTTTTCTCTGCTTTCTCCTTCTGAATATTGGTCCACCATTCATCATCCTGAACATTGTCCTTCAGTCTTGCTCCATATACCAAGTAAAAGTCATTTTAAAAACATTTAGTTTGTCCCCAATTTATTGCTAATAGGCAGCTGGAGTCTCTCTCAATCTCATATCCCACAATAAACAAGCTGCATGCTGCCTTCCTTGACAGGGATGCATTTTCTAAAATAGATATTAATGCCACAGGAGATGTATATGCCTAGGCCCAATCCACATACCCCCAAGTTTCCAAATGGGGAAGAAAATATATAAAATCACACATTGAGTTATAGCTTTCTGTTCTTTTCTATTTTATGTTCTTTAATTCTGATGTTGTATTTTGTTACATTTTGAATTATTACAGTTGTTAGCTGTTAGCATAAGTATAATCTTTACTGTCATTGTACTTAAATATAACAAAATTGGTTAGGCTCCTTTTTGTACAAAATGAGAATGTCAGTGTAATCAACAAAACAGAATTTCTGTATTTCAGCTATTGGAGGCAAAGTAAGAGAAGAATAGGTGTGCCCCTGCTTTGTCATTAGGCAAAAGCCGAACATAGGTTGCCCAACTGCAGCAAGGCAATTTGTCAGCAACTGAAAGAAAAATGCAAGTTAATTTTAGGAAGTTAAGATAATCTGAGAACTAGCCAACATTGACTTCACCTTCTTAAAATACTGAATTTTACCCAATCTGTTCCCTAGTAGAATAAAGATTGGTGGCAGGATTTCCCCTTCCCACAAAGCCTTTTTAGATACAGTCTGCACAGAGTTGAAGGAAAAGTAGTTACAAGTCAAAGGGCGAAGTTTGCTCAAGAGGCAGCTGAGAATACTGTGATGCATTGCAGGAAGTAGCTGTACCATGTGATCTGTAGATTTAGTTTGCCTGACTGCCGGTTGTTAAGTTTTATCTCTTTCTTTGCAGCTGAGGCAGATCAGGATTTTTTACCTCCAGTGAAAACACCCACTGATGTAGTTGGCATAAAGGCAGCTTCTCTACCAGCACCACCGACTTCTGTTGCTCTTCAGAACATCTCTCTCAAACATCCTTGGATTGAAATTCAGTAACTATTTCATTTGTTTGCATTCCAGAAAAATAACCATGCCAAATATATTGCGCTGAAGTAGCCATCTTACTTAACTTGGTGCCTTTTGGAAATTGTGAATAGAATTCCCAGTCCTTAGGCTATAGTCATGTATTCCATAGCAAAGAAATAATCTGTGAGCTGTCACTCAGTTTTCTTCCCTGTGCAATCTTGACTGGCTTCATCCACTATTATTCACCTGTCAACAGACTACAGTAGTCACTAGCTGAGTGGGGAGAGGGAGGACATACTTTGGTACCTCTGTTAGCAAGGCGTAGATAAAGATTGTGTGGTATTCACTTTTGTTTTTACTTCTGGTGATTCCCTGGGCATGTCCTGCAGGTTTCTTGGCAATATTTTGGAATATTGCCCTAGCCCTTGCCAGTTTCCTAGGGTTGAGAGAGAGGGACTAGCCTCAGGTCATCCAGCTGTCTTCCTGCTTAAGGCAGGACTAGAACCCAGGCTCTTAAGTTCCAGGCTGATGTCTTAACCACCACACAAAGTTTTTAAACATTTCATTTATTTTAAAACTGAATACTTTTCTTCATCTTTTTTTAAAAGAAAATAATCAACTTAGAAATTCTTTTAAATTGAACACTTAAATAAAATGGTTGCTTTTGCCTAGAATTAAGTGAAAACTGACGCCAGTACAGATTTAGAAATCCCGATTTCTTTAATTTTGGTCAGTTTTCACCCAGATTATTGTTAAATGCATGGCCTAGCTCTAATGAAAACCATTAAGTCTAAAGCACTTTAAGAGTTTATTTCCTCTAATGTGAGGAAAATGAAACAAGATATGATTCAGTGGTCATCTAGCAGTGAACAATTTATGCATAGTATGCCATTTCTGAAGGTGGTCCTTGATTTGTGACTCTGTCGCTTATGACCATTCGAAGTTACAATAGATCTATCTGTGAGGTATTTATGACCCAGGTTTGAATTTCTGTTGGTCACTATCCTGCAGTCACATGACTGCAGTTTGGTGGCTGTCACTAGTTACAGTTGTGCTAGGTAAGCCTCCATTACAGTCAGAACTCAAGGACTACCTATAAACTCATGTAACTTAACTCACAGTTGAGTAAAAGGATTACTAAACCGAATATTTGTCCATTACCAAGAGATTTGACATTTATTTATGTAGCATATAGCATACCATACATGGGCTAGCAATACAAATTAACATTTCAATTGCCACTAAATTGCATTGTCAATAGATGTATTGTAATATGGTAAAATGATTGCACAAAGCTTTTTTCCCCCCTTCAAATCCGTTTTTGATTCCTAACAACTGCCCAAACAGGTCTGTGCAGTTTATGTGGCAAGATTTTAGAAGTGGGTTGCCTTTGCCTGCTCATAGGGTTGAGAAGGTAGGACTGGCCAAAGGTCACTTAGTTGGCTTCATGCCTTAGGCTGGACTAGATGTCATAAACTCCCAGTATCTAGCTTGGTGCCTTAACCACTACACTAAACTGACAGTCTTACACAAAACTAGCCATGTAGATATCTATTTTCTAATATTTGATTCATTTGGATTTTGTTTATAGCATAATTCAACAAGAGAGTGAGATACTAGTTGCAGAGTACATGTACAGATTAACAAGCACTTTTATTTATTAAGAATTGATAAATGAGAGCAGAAAGTGCTTTCCAATACTTTTGATTGTAACGATGTGCTACCTTTGAAAGTACATGATTACTTTTGGTTTCAATCTCAAAAATGAAAAAATATTGCTGGAAAAGATTTAAAGTTGCTATTCTGAATTCTGCTTCTCTTTTACAGGCAAGAAATGAAGGATAAGTTATAGGAAATAATATAAAACATTTGCTTAATTTTTCATTTCTTTATAAAGTTTAAACCTAAACAGCTAAACCTAACCACCAATTACTATAACTGCTGTTTCTCTGCTCTTGTATTAAAAGCAGATGAAATTGAGAATACAGAAACACTTTGGACCTAGCAAATTCTATAATACTTTGATCTCAGTAAAGCAAACCACATCTTGCTAAACAAAATGACATTTGCAACTATTTTTTTTCTCTAGCATTTTTCTGCAATTGTAGTGCTGCTTTTTTCAGATCAAACAAGTGTTGATACATTGGTTGCAACAAGAATTGACTGACCAGCTTGTCATCCCAGCATAATGTAACAGCCTGAGAGAGAGTGTGATTGGCCCAAAGTCACCCAGCCAGCTTTCATGCCTGAAACAGGACTAGAACTCATATTCTCCTAGTTTGTAATCTGATGCCTTCACTACTAGATCAAATTGGCTCTCATTTTGTGGCCATTTTGATAGTTGAATATTTTAACTTTTCACGCCAGGTGGTAATTCATAATGATTTAATGTTTCACTAGGCAAACATTTTTAGGCATTAAAATACCACATATTGGCTGCAAAAATCTGTCTATTCTAAATCAATTGCAAAGAGTTAACATTTTCTGGCCAACGATGATGGTCTATATCTTTTTTGCCATCTGGGGCTTTGTTGTATTTTGCAAGCCACACAGAGAAATCCAGTGTGGTTTTTATTTTTTTGATTGCTGCTTTTTCTGTCTGCAGGGAATTTTTGGGGTTAGTTTGAAGGTATATTCTGTCACATGAGTTTCCACACGCCCTCTGAAATACTGCAGCCACTATAGTGCTTTAACCACTATAGTGAGATCTAGAATTAAGATCTAAGCATTAGTTTTTCTGTTCAATTTTCTTCTTTCAGAAACACAGTGCATAATCTGTGTGGCAACCGTCAGAACCGAAGGGACAGTGGTAGTTTTGAGGATAATTTTGAAATCATTGCTGATGAAGAGCAACTAAAAGGAGAAACTGAGGATACAGGTACTTATTTAGGATTTATGATAGTGTATAAAAGACATTTCCTGTTGCGTTTTGTGATTGTATTATGAAGTAAATCTATGAAAGGAAACTGTGGGAGATGAACAGAAACAAAAAACAAAAATAGTTATACAATCTGAATGTTATTTAAAAATAAAGCCCACTACATTGAATGGAACTTATATCAGGGTTACATCTAATGCAAATTCATTATTTCACTTTGTAGAAACAACAGAACATTTATCTATGGAGATTCTCAGTCATCCAGGTCATGGTTGTCCCAAAGGTGTTTTTCAAGAGGTAACTGGACTTTCTTGTTTTTCTTCGAAGACTTCTCATCCAGAGCTGAAGAAGCTTCTTGGATGAGAAGCGAAATGCCTTCAAAGAACAACCAGAAAGTCCAGTTCCTCTTGAAAGAACATCTCTGGAACAACAGTTACTTCTCCAGTGCCTATACTACATTTGAATTAGCCATTATTTCAAAAATACTTGGGGTGCACAAGACAATTTTATACCCTCTGCTGCTTTCATATATCAACCCTATTACAACATACAATGTTGCCACATTCTGCACAGGAGTACTTAAAATCTTTAGAGAAAATGACCTGTATCACAAACTAATTTTAATGAGCATTTAGACCATTATTATTACCTATTTTGTGATTCATTGAATTATTTGTATTACATAGATATAGTTTATCATGTTTTATGCCCATTTATTGTTTTTAACTTCTCTCCATTTAGACTCTTTTTTAAGATTTTTATAGTTATATTTTTTATGTAATTGGATTTTTGTTTTGTTTTTTGCTTTTACATTTCTTGTACCCTACCCTTTTTATGCTGGTCTTTGACAGTAATAAAGGTTTATTTGATTTATTAATGTACTTCCTGATAAACATGCAGATGATTGCTCATAAATCTCGTGACTTTATCTGGAGCATATATTAATGTTTTGCTAAACTACTAACTTTTCAGAATACTGAGATCTTCCATTGCAAGAAGGTTATTCTCTATTATTTTTATTTGTTTCAGTCATGGCAGAAATGCAGAAGGATACAAAAATGAGACCAAAGCCATCAACACTCCGAAAATACAAAAAAGCAAACAGCAGTTTTCATTATTTTGTTGAAGGAGCAGAACAGGGAAAAATAGCTTCTCTTCAGCATCAAGTTTTGATTCTTACAGAGGAAGTAAAATCTCAGAAGGTAAGCCTCCCCTTAAAATATATACCTAGTTTAAATCAATCAAAAGATTTAAATCAAGTATCCAGCCATGTAGAAGACAATGTTGGACTAGAAATTGTTTCCTGATACATTTCTAGTGGTAATGCAGGTTGGTGGCAAATGGAAAACAAAATTAAACTGGAAAAGTTTCTGGAAAAATGCCCTTGGACTGGCATGTCCTAGCCAGCAAAAAAACCTGGTGTTTTTCATTGATAAATGTATTTAATCATCCAAGCTGCAAGTTGTTTGACTTTTAATATAAAAGAAACTTAGGTAGTAATATTACTTAACTATATTATTAAGAAGAAGTGTCATTTCTTCCTAATAGTATGCATATTTTATGTACTGTGTTAAATTATATATATTTTTATATTTCATGACTTTGGAGTGCTGAGATAAGATAAAACAGAGTGGGAGCAGCAAAACCCAGAAGAAAGGACTCAATCTGTTTTACAGAGTTTGTTATTAATGTGTGGGAGAAAATCCAGTCATCCAGCTTCTCCTCTAGCCCCTTTTCCATTTCAGGATAAGGGCATTGGTTAGCATAAATGAGGCTAAAGCTGTGGGCAAAATAGTAACTTTGAACGAAAACTTAAAGATGTTAGACCAAGGGTCTCTAACCTTTGGTCCACGGTCCACTAGTGAGCCATGAGGTACTTGGCTGCAGAAACTGTGGTGAGTACAAGTGAACACACATCCCTACTTGCACCAGCAGCGGGTGAGCACTTCCATGTGCACTCCATTTGTTACATCAAGTGCATGTATGCAAGTGCATGTATGTGTGCATGATCACACAAATGGAGCTGTGAGTGTGTGCTTGGTGGCCACTCATGCCAAAACATAGTCTCTCCCCCTCCTCCTTTGCTGGTCTGCAAAGCCGGAGAGGTTGGGCAACTCTGTGTTAGACCACCTGCAGGATGCAATTTAAGGGAGCCTATTTCCATAAAAAAGAACACTAGTAGGAACCCCTTGAAGTAATTGAAGAACAGTACAGTTCAGGTTATGATGGCTAACCTTATTTGTTCCCGCGTGTGAAAAGCGTGTGTGCGTGTGTAACAGCCTGCACTGCATGCCAACACCCATAATCCCTGCCCTCTGTGCATGCGTACATGACACACACACCCCCGTGCTCTCCCTCCGTGCCCTGTTTTGGACCTAGCAGGCATCCCTAGCAAGCCTCCTGGGACCAAAAACGGGCCGTGGGGGGATTTCCTCCTCCCCGAATTCCCCCCACCACTGCATTATGCATGCACACGTGAACCCATCCCTGTGCTCCCCCGCCCCCTGCACTTATGTGCATACCCCCTGGGTATGCAAGTGCGTCTCCCACATGCGTGGCGGAGACCCAAAAATCAGCTGGTCAGGGGGAGGCGCACACGTATGTATGGTGGACCTGAGCTGGGCGATGGCTCGTGTGTCCACAGAGAGGGCTTCATGTGCCATCTGTGGCACCCGTGCCATAGGTTTGCCATCATGGGTATAGGTAATTCTCAATTTACGACCACAATTTAGCCCAGAATTTCTCTTGCTTAGACATTTATTAAGTGAGTTTTGTCCCATTGTACGACCTTTATTGCCATTGTTGTTAAGTAAATCATTGCAGTTAAGTTAGTAACATGATTGTTAAGTGAATCTGGCTTCCCCATTGACTCACAAAAGATGATCACATGATCCTGGGACACCGAAACTGTCATAAATGTGAGCCAGTTGCCAAGCATCCAAATTCTGGTCATGTGACCATGGATTGTAAGTGTGACAGTCACTTTTTTCAGTCCTGCTGTAACTTCAAAAGGTCACTATATGAATGGTTGTAAGTTGAGGACTACCATATTTTTCGGATTATAATTTGCACCTTTTCCCCTCAAAAAAGAGGGTGAAAATCTGGGTTCGACTTATACACTGAATACAGCATTTTTGGCCTCCCAACCCCCCCCCCCCTTTGCAAAAAAGACTGTGTAGCCTTTAGGAGGCTTCCAGAGTGCTCCTGGGGGCTAGCGAGGGCCTTTGTTTGTCTGTTTTTGCCACCCCTGCCTCCAGGAGCACTCCACAAGCTTCT